GTGTTTCTATTAGCTTGTTTTGAGCGTTTAAGTCATTTTTTGAGGGGAACCTAATATGGAGGGTAGGATCAATTATGGGCCGATCTTTTTAAAATTTTACAAAAAAATTGAGGTTCCTATAAAACAAGCTTGTGCCGAATATTAACGCTATATATGCTTCATTTAGCCAGTTATGAATCTAAAAGTAATATTTTGAGGGGACTTTATATGTGGCTAGGCGAAATCGTGGACCGATATTACCCATATTCAATACCACACAAACTGCATCAACATAAAATATCTGTTCAAAATTTCAGCTCGCTTCCATTTGGAGTCGATCGTGTTTTCAACAGTCAGACGGACGGACATGGCTAGATTGTCTTAGAATTTAATAAGGACCCAGAATATATATATAGGTACTTTTATGGGTCTTGGATGAATATTTCGATGTGTTATAAACGGAATGAACTTTTTTTATGGTGGGTATAAAAATAAAGCACAAAACATAAAAATATGCACTAAAAGAGTAAAATATGGCCTAAAAACTTGAAAATATGCCTTAAATATGCTATTAAAGTCAAATCATTGAAAATGATGCTCTTATCGATGCCAAAATTTTTAAATTGGTCTTAATCATGAGTCCATATGACACATAACCTATCATTTGCATATTTTGGTTTCCCTGGTTATAACAATTTAATTTCAAATTTGCTTTGAATATCTCTTGAAATACTTAAATAGAAAATTTTCACTTAAATAACATTATACACATATATTTCTCGTTCAAAGAAAATGGGAAGCATTTTAACAAATATTATGCTTTCAATTCTCATAAAAATCTATTGGCAATCATTTGAAATTATGATCATGAAAATAAAGCAATGAAAATTGCATTTCACAGAAAAAATAACGTGATGATGAAAAAAATAGTAAACGTTTTCTACGTAAAAGATTGAAAACAATAAAAATCTATGATAATGAATATATATGCAAAAAAAATACCAGAAAAATAAGTATGCACATACATATAGAACAATTTCCGTACATAATAAGTACGGGGGTTGATTGAAATATAATTGGAAAAAATAATTTTAAACAGAAGAATCTTTTGCCATTTAAGGATAAAAAAGATGTTAACTATATTTCTGATTTCTTCAGAGAAACCACTATTTATTTAGGTAGGAAATCAAGTCAGATTTGTAGAAAAAAAAACTGTAAATAAACAAACCTCGTATTTAAAAAAAAATAAAGCGTTAAAACGATATGTATCATGAAAATCAAAGATACTAATAACAGTTATTCATAGAAAAAAGAAATTGATTTTGTTAATTATTACAACTGTGACATTTATTGATTGAAATATAATAATAAATAAATATTTTATAATAAAAAAATAACTGAATATTAAAGTATAGCTTGATACATTTATTTTATTATGATTTTATATTAAAACATATTTATTGTATGTATTTGTTAATGACTTTATTAATTAATAAATTTTATTTTAAATTTTAGTTCTCATTAGCAATATACTTGTTAAAACTATGTACGATTTTATTATAAGTAATGCTTAATTAAAAGTTTCAATAAAGTAATTAAAGTATTAATAAAAAAGAAAACTATTTTTTATTAATATTTTCATATTGTATATTTAAAATATTTAAATTAACTAAATGAAATATATAACATGTTCTCTTGCAAATAATAATTGGAATGTTAATACTTAAAACTTATTGACGGTAGTTTAAATATTTTATTAATATGTAGTAATAAAATAATCTGCATAATTAAGCGATAAAAAGTTTTTTTTTTTGTATAAACCAAAAAGCTGTATCAGGGTTGGCAAAATTGGTACAATTGTAACTTTTTTGGTACTATTCAATCCTCAGAACTACAATGGTACACCAATGACCCAAGAAGAAAAGAAATATACAATTATTATTTATATTCTCTCAAATTGTTAAGAAAAATTTAAGAAATTACAGCCAGGCGTGCAGTAATAACTTTTAACAACGAGAGTACTTCTCTAGGATTCCTTTTTTATGCGAAAGCGAAAATTTTAAATAATTTTAATGATCTTTTATGTCCTATTTTGAATAGACGTTTAAAGTACTTTTTACTAGACTTTGGGCCAATCTAATGACTTTTCAATGATGTAGTCTATGAATTATGGATGTTGCGAACGCCAGATTCGCAAATGGAAATGCGAAAATGAATGCAAATAGTAAAATTACTATTAATTAGCCTAGGGACTATACTATCATATCTATTATCTAGTCTTTAGAGTCTAGTCTATAGACTATTCTATTATGTATATAGTTTATAGACTCTATGAATATGTCATTGTACTAATATACATTCTATAAACAAGTAAGAAAGTATAGTCGGGCGTGGCCGACCGTACGATACGCTACACCAGTTATGAATATTAAATGTGATTTATTTTTCATAATAAAGCATTTATCTTGAATATTACCTGATTCCGATTAATTTAAGCAATTATTTAACGAAAAACTAATTTTCTGAAAGAGGCTTTGTATGGGGGATAGGAGCAAATGTGGACAGATCCCGATTAAACGAGGTGGATAGATTTATATTTATATAATATTTGTCTGTGATAAATTTCATTGCAATAACAGTGTTAATAATTGAATTGCTGATATTCAAGTCACTTTTGGAAAGGGGTTTTGTATGGGGGCTAGGGTCAAATGAGGTCCGATCATTTCGAAATTCGGCAAGGTCATCAAGACTTGTATAAAACTTAGTTGTGAGAACTTTTATCAAGATACATTTATATTATACATAATTATAAGCTCAAAAGCCCTTTTCGGGGGGTTCAGTTGTATGGGGGCTATGTGAAATAATGGACCAATTTTAAAAATTTTCAATAGGCTTCATCCTATTGTATTCCAAATTTCATCAAATTATCTTGAAAAATGCGACCTGTACTTTGATAACAATGTTTACATGACACACGGATGGTCGGACGGACATCGTTAAATCGACTCAGAAAATGATTCTCAATTGATCGGTATACTTAAAGGTACTACTATTTTAGTGCGTTACAAACATCAGCACAAACGCATAATACCCTTGGTGGTGTAGGGCATAACTAGTCAATACACTACTCTAATATCTAACCTATAGAATATTGTCTAGTCGAATAGTCTACTGTTTACTTAACAGAATACTCTATTGGCTAGTCTATATGAAGGCAATAGACTTTCTAGTCCATTGACCAATCTGGGGACCAAATGGTCTATTAGATTAGACTAATCTATGGGCTAATAAAAATGAACTGTTAATTTTGAATTGTATTTGGTACAATTGGAATCAAAAAAAGTAAAATTATTAATGCAGATTTGTACAATTTGAAAATTCTTGCCCCTATTATGGTTTACAACTCAACTCTTCTTTAGTTGAAATTTTGCTCTTTGGTATTATCGATAACAACTTAAAATTTAAAGTTGAAATTTATTACAACTTTTTTGAAAAAAATTACAACTTATCAAAAGCCCCAATAAACATCGATTCAAACCTGTGAAAATTTTTGAAAATTTTCTTAACTAAATAATGTATTTTCCAAATTGTTTTCAAATTTTAAAGTTTAGCCTTTGAAATAAACATGATAATTTCAAAAAACGTTTAAAAAAATATAATGTGTGATATTTATAAAATTTTCAAAGTTTTGTTTGAATTGAACTTAGAAAAGTTTCTTTCAAAAAATAAATTATTTTAGAAAAATAAAAACAGAACATTTTTTCTACAGCAAGGGAGCGAAAAAACGTTAAATATAGGAGAAATAATCGGAGATATAAAAGAAAAAAATGCTAAAATAAATGTATGAATATTTTATTTTCAGGTGATGTAAAAAAATATATGAATTTTGCAATATTTAGCATTATAATTAGGGTTTGAAATATGTATGAAAATAATAATAAAGAATACTTGAAATACGTTTGAAAATTTTTTTAGTTTCAAGCTTACCTCTAGCCTTTTTTTAAATTTGAAATACATTTGAAAAATACGTTTGATTTCTAACTGCCTTTTTTTTTGAGAAGGCCATAATTTTCCATTTGAAAACAAAAATTTTCAAATTTGTTCTCAAAGGCTATGTATGAAATTTGAATAGGTTTTCAAATACATATTTACATCATTTCAAAGGTTTTTGCTTATTGGGGCAGTTGTAACAAATTACAACTCAATTGTTTAGAATAAATTTTTAAAATAAAACAAAGTAAAGTTTTTTCTTTTTAAATTTTCTTAAATTTCATTAATCACTGATTTCAAGCGAATTCACAATAAAAAGATGTTCAATACATTTGTCATTTACGAAAAACAGAAATTCAAAAACTTTTCACTTAATTTTATGACAAAAAAGCACTTTTTAGGTTGGCAACATCAACACAATTACAACTGAAATTGGTTGTAATTCATAATACCAAATATAAGTTGAGTTGTTCTAAAGTTGAGTTGTTTCAATTTCAACTCAACTGAGTTGAGTTGTAAACCATAATAGGGGCATCTATTTGCCAACCCTGAGCTGTATTAATAAATAATCATATATTTTAGTTTCTTATAATGTGTTATTAAACTAGACTGAAGAATTTTGCAATTATTTTGGGCACCATGACGCGTTAGTGAAATTTTAAGATTCTGTGGTCAGGACTGAATGGATTAAAATAAAGATCTTGTGTACCATTTATTAAAATCTTTCAAATCTGTTATATTAGACTTAAATTACATACCGAATATAGTTGAGGTCTTTAGAAAATTAATTTTAACGGACATACAGACGGACGTTATTTATTCGACTACTTTATCTATAGGGATCCAGAATCGGAAAATTACATTGTGAAAATTACAAACGAAATGACAAATAATGAGAACATTAAACAAATATTTACTCTTCAATAAATACTAAGTACATACCATATAAATCACATGACATTTGTTTAGTAAAGGACCCTATTTACAAGTAGTTTTTATTGATACACAGAATTTGTTAAGAAATCAAATAATTATTATCTGTTAATTAAGTACTTTTTATTTAACTTACAGACCTACCCCATATTCATAAAAGCATATTACAGTTGTTGATGGTTTATTGTAAGAAAATGGGCGTAGTATGAATACAATATAATTTTCCTTTAGTTAAGATTATTTTATTTATGGAAAAACTTCCTAATAAAATGTTCTATACCCACTTAAAAATCTTAAACGGATCAGTCAATTAAATTATTAAATTATATACAAATTTCTTAAATTCTAAATTAAGTACTAGAAAATACATATTAAATAAATGTTAAATACTTAATGAAAAACACTAAAATTGTTGAATGTTAGCCAAAGGCAAATACAAAAATATAATAATTAAATATAAAACATACATAGAAATCATATTCCATGTATTTAACCTCAGCTACCAACGAGTACAGGACACACATAATATACCACTCTGAGAGTCGTTGTTTTCACTTGAAAATATAAAAATTTTCATTAGGTTTCCTTTTCTTCGTGCAAACATTCACCTTTAGTTTTGGTGAAATGTATGAAAGTATTTTTGTAAAGTTAAAAAAAAATAGTATAAAACATTTATGTTCTTAAAATAAGTAAAATATAAATTAAACATTATGAGAACCTTCTTCACGATTTTCATAAGCCCAGAATTTGTGAAATTCAATTAATATGGAGACAACCGTTTCCGCTTGGCCGCTGTTAAAAAAGGAAGAGCAAAAAAAAACGAAATGAGAAACATAATATAATAGAAAAAATATTGTATGTACTTATATTTAACAACATATACACTAGTAAAAATTAAATTAAAGAAAAAAATCATGCATAGTGAGACAGAAAGTCGAGAATATGTACGTAAGTAGATACATAATGTTGCAAGTTAAGCAGATTTGTTCGATATAATTTTTAATTAATATCTGGTGAATTACAAATATGTACATGTGTGAAATAATGAGTGTATTGAAATGTTATTAGTGCTGAGCATAAGTAATTTAATTTCAAGTTTTTGCAGTTTCTTAAGTATGAATGAATTTCTTTAATTTTCCCAATTTAGTCAAAAATTAATTAGGTAGTACATGTGATATTGTATAAGAACCAACATAAATAATTTCTTATGAGTATGCAAAACTTTGTGATTGGTATGGGTAAAATTATTTGCACAAAACTATAACGAGAGAACTGTTAAATAAAGCACGACTACACTTTTCATAAATGTAACTACTACTGCAATCATTATTAAGTTTAATTTTTAATATATGATTTTATAAGTATGCTAGTACAAATGTACACAGGAGGGAAAGTGGAAGTTCTAGGTAGTGTTGGTAGAAAAAATATCGAGCTTGTTAGTTATATACAATTGTATAAAATATGTTGTTGATATGTTGTAAAAGTTATAATGTGAATGCTACGCTGCATTTCCATAATATACATACATATATTAATAATATCAAGTGCAAAATAATATACATAATTTTTTAGCACATAAAACACTTATCCATACACACATATAAATATGTACGTAAATATTAAAAAATAATGATAATTTCATATCAGAAGTTAAATGAAATACATACGTTTATATATATACTTTCATATGTATCTTTATTTTAAATTATGAAAATACACATAAATTAGGTCAATATGTTAATGTTAAATACATTAAATATATTAAATTCGAGTAGTAATATAATTTACATATGCAAAGACAAACTACATACATATACATATATAAATAATATAAAGTATTAATATTATAAATGATTTAATATTTATAAAATTAATTAAAACATTCATAGATTCATTTATACAAACGTATTCTGGTATGTAGTATATAGCAAAAAGATCAATATTAAATAGTAATTTGACATGTTAATAAAATTAAAGTATTTGTAGAAATTTTAATACACAATAATATTGTAATTAAATATTTGAAATAAATAAAAATTTGTTCAATGATAGATAGCAATTTTGCTCTAATAATGTCAATTTTAAGACTTTAATATTATAATAACCGATAATAGAGAATATTAATATTTATCTAAGATTATTAAAAGTGATTTTTAACTTTATATTTGATTGAACTGCTAATGTGGAAATATGCTATAATATATACATTATTTAATAATTAATTACGTTATTTTAATATGGAAATATTTAAACGATGGAACTAGTTACACAGTTCCCTAAAACTTGCATAGAACTGGTAGCGAAATGAGGGTAACAAAATCTATCAAAATTAATTAATGAAAATAATTGATTAAGAGCTTCTCCATAGAACTAATATCGTCTTTATAGAGAGTGTGAAGATAAATTCGAATTTAACAAGTAAAGACGCAAACCAAATTCTTTAACATAGCTATTTTTGCAGTTAACAGTGCACTGTTAACCAATTAACAGTCAAAATGCTCTAATTTGTTGAAAAAATCATATATCCAGTATTTCTGAAATATTTTCAGAATAAAAAAATATAAAGAAAAAAGAAAAAAGTTCTAGAGACGTTTTGTGGTAATTATGGAATTTATACCACGATATATGTAATCGGTAGTCCCAGATGCCCTTAATAGTTCCCTATTACTAGTTTATCCCAAATAATCTTAGGATCCCTGAAAAGTGGCCATGAAATTCTGAAGAGGATTTTTGGTCATTATGGAATTTTAAGGAGGGGCTGGTATACCACGATATATGGAATCGGTAGTCCCAGATGTCCTTAATAGTTCCCTATTAATAGTTTATCCCAAATAATCTTAGGATCCCTAAAAAGTGGCCATGAAATTCTGGATAGGATTTTTGGTCATTATGGAATTTTAAGGAGGGGCTGGTATACCACAATATATGGAATCGGTAGTCCCAGATGTCCTTAATAGTTCTCTATAACTATTTTATCCCAAATAATCTTAAGATCCCTGAAAAGTGGCCCTAAAAATTGGTCAAGAAGTTCTAGAGAGGATTTGTGGTCATTATGGAATTTTAAGGAGGGGCTGGGATACTACGATATATGGAATCGGTAGACCCATATGTCCTTGATAGTTCCCTATTACTGGTTTATCCCAAATAATCTTAGGATCCTTTAAAAGTGGCCATGAAATTTCTTGATCAATTTTCAGGGCCACTATTATTTGGGATAAACAAATAAAAATCAGCTGCCTTAACGATTTCACCTTACTTAGTGCATCCTGTCATAAACTATACTAAATATCGATAAACATTGAAAATATACATCAAATATGTTTCAACGTAAAAGAAAGAATAATATATAATAAGAAAGAATAATAAATAATAGGAAAGAATAATAAATAAATGAAATGTATCATTCCTTAAATTTTTATACAAAAATATTTTCAAACTTACCAATTAATCAAATCCTGCAGTGTTATCTTATAGGGATCTTTCGATTTGACCATATCAAATATTTCATCTTTCAAATCTTCAAAATTCACCGATTCTGCATTCACAGCTCGGATTTGTTCTTGAATGCCTTTGAAAAAGTAATGTAATGTTTGAGCCGTTAAATAGCCTTTATGTTGAACATCTAAAATGCGAAATAGATAATGTAGAGACTGTGGCTCATGGCGATTGTCGAGTGCTAAAACAAAATCGAGAAATGTTTTATAATCCATTTCACCATCAAATGTACGACATTCATCAAAAACCCGGTCCAAAAATACAGATGTAAGTGTGCCGGAACCATAATCGGCTAATTCCTGTTTGCTCAACATGCCATTGTGATCTTTGTCGAGATTTAAATAGTTGCCATAGACCGTTAGTACTGAGGGCATAGAAAACCAATTGTGTTCTTGAGATTCTTTGGATGAGTCTTCATCTCTTAATTCCAGCAGTTCGGTGAGCAGGCCAGAGGCTAAAATGTCTCTTATTCTTATGCGACCAGTGTGTAAGGGATCCAAAAAGAAAAAGAATTTCTTAACAACTGTACAAACATAAAAACTTTGAAATGAGGGTTGGACACAGCTGCTGATTTGTGCTAATGTGGGTATTATGTCAATAATATAGTTTTCCATGTCGATTTCTCTTAAATAACCCTGACCCACATCATCGTAGAATGAAAGACCTATGCGTCCCTGTGTCAGCCACACTTTGCGCATAGTGTAATTGAAAATGGAAACAATTTCAACTTTTCCTGGATAACCAGAGTGGCATTGCAGTTTAGCAAATAAACGTGCTGTTAAATATTTACGGCATTTGACACTAACTGCCTGCATAACTTTCAAATAGTCATCATAACCGATTAATTGCTGGCCTAAAGGTGTCACTTGTGTGCAATGTTTTTCCAGAATGGACCACAACGTATTTAACTCTTCATTGTCCAACAGCTCTTGGGAACGTTTTTGCAGAAATAGAGAATGGGCTTCTTTGCGTAAATTTTGTCTTAAAGTATCATTAGCTGCTGGTGGTGCGTGAAAAAACTTGGGTATAGTAGTATATGTATGATGATTAGCTAAGGGCAACTTATTTTTTCCACAACTGCTCACTGCCTTAAGAGGCTCATTTTCATTGAATTTATCCAAATCTTCTTCTGAAGGTTTTTGCGATGAAACTTCTAATTGTTCAAATTCTTTAACAATATCTGGGTCCAATTCCATGATGAAGGACACAAATTAGAAATATTTAAACACAATAATTCACTTTTCACAAGATTACTTTTTGACTTGTAGAAAATTTACTAATTTACAACAAACTAAAAAATGCGATCAGCTGTTGCATGTAGAATAGCAAACCGTATCGGCGCGACTGGATGCCAGAGCTATAAGCCGATGCAAAATGATCGCTGGCGGCTTATTATAGAAAATACTAGCGGCGACTAAATTTTCTTCAGAAAACGAAATAAAAAAATAAAAATTTAACACAATATGACTTCACTTACAAAAATAACTGTTTAGAATCTGGGATTCAAATGATTACTAAAATGTATTTTATGTACTATTTAAGTTCTTTCTTGCAATAATTATTAATCCCATATCACAGGTATTTTTAAAATGTGTTAAGTCATAGATAGGTAGGTAATTTTTTATATCACTGACGCAGGTACACATATGGACGTAAATAATTATGTATGTTGATAGGTAGTTAATAGGTTAAGTATATTCGCGGAATTATCATTTATTAACTGCATCTGCTGCTATAAATACCTAAGTTAATCACATATTCACATATGCATATAGTAACTGTTATAGTTTTATAGATAGTATATTGGTGAATATAAGTTTCATGATTATAGCTGTAATGTCAGATAGATAGATGATATCTGTGTGATTCCAAACTTTATCAGCGGCTACGTTTAAAAAGGCTTAAGATTTTGAGCCGAAAGAAATCAGCGACGGCGCGGCTTGCAAAATATTTGAGCCGTCTCGGCTTGTATTGTATAATTGTTCAAAAACTAAAAGAAAGCGCAACCAGCTGTTGCATGTCGATATTAAAACAGGGTTGCTTACAATGTGATCATAATAGGGTGGTTAATAAATGAAGAAGTTATTACTTAAGTCGATTTTTCTATAGCACATTTTAGGGGATTAAAGAAAATACTTCAACTAAACAGTGAAAAAATTACACTGTAAATATATAATGTTATATGCCGTTTACACCAAACAAAAACTAGACGTTTTTGGCTTTATTTGGTTTTTGTTTGAAAAACTACTTAAATTTCTTTGGTTTTTCCATACAAATTAAAAACTACTTTCAACTGGTTTTTGATAAAAACTCAATCAAAACCCAATAAAAATAAGTAAAAAATAACTTTCCAGCACTGGTGTCTCGAAATGAGCTTTTAAATGAACCCAGCTAGCATTTGGAAGATTGTTGGATGATTAATCAGTAAACTGATTCATTTTTGACTCCTTTTGATGACCTAAACGTGATTAATAAGTTGAGCGTTTAAAAAATGATTCGAAAATGATACCGATATATGATTGAAAACTGATTATTTGAAAAACAATAACAACAACAAAAACAATAGCAATCATAAATTGATCATCCTGGTGTTTAAAATATGATGGTTTTAAAAACTTATTTTGTGATCATATTTCGAGCAGTTGGAATATCAAAAATTGTTTCTTATGTAATTGTTTTTGTTTGCAATGGAATAGCAACACTTACACTTAAAATGACTCAAAAACAATTAAAAAATGAGTCGAAACGATTAGAAAATGGGCACAAAAAAGACTCTTTTAGAAGAGTTGGCAAAAAATTTTGTGTGGCCTAAAATAAGTTGATATAATTCTCATTTCGTTTATAAAATTAAAGGTATAAGTATTTCAATTTGTGTGATATTTATAAAGTCGATTTTCTGTCAGGGAAATTGAAATTATATTATGCTTTAATTACCTATAATAATTTTATACGTTTAATGATCTTCTACGGAAGATAGTTGGGTGACTAATCACTAAACTAAGTCTAATTAGTTCCAATTAATGTTCAAAATCTGATTTATTTGGAAAACAATAACAAAATGTACAGCAATCACAAATAGGTCTTACAGGTGTTCGAAATTTGGTTGTTTATAAATTTATTTTGTAGTTACATTTCGAACAGTCGAAAGATCACAAAATGTTTTCTGTTGTATTGTATTTGTTTGTAACAAACATAAAAATTACTCAGAAAAGACTCAAAAACTACTATAATATGATTCGAAAATAATTCTAAAACTACCAGTAAGTCGGCTCATTAATGACTCCAAAAAGATTAAATAATGAGTCAGAACTGATCAGAAGTGGGGCTCATAAAAGACTCGTTTAGAAGAGTCGCAGGTAGGGTACCATTTTCTCCCGACGAATGTATCATTTATGATCACAAAATGAGCGCATATATGATCATTTTAATCGTGCAGAAGAGTCATAAATGACTCGAATGTGATAAAAAATTTCAAAAAATTCTAGCTGGGGAAATAAATAAAAGAAAATGTCAAAAAAAAAATAAAATATTTTATTAATTCAAAAATTTAAACAAATTTTGTTGAACAAAATATTAATTTAATGATAATTTCACTAAAAAAATTTTATTAAAGTGGTTTCCATAATAAAAAAAGTGGATTTTGTGGCAAAGATGATTTTCTGGTGTGTATGTATTGGTTTTTGAAATTTAGTTTGGTCTAAACGGCATATTAAGTAGAAAACTGAAATAAAGTAAAATCGTTCATTAACAATTAAATAAGTGAAGAAAGCAGTTCAAGGATTATTAAATATTAAAAACATGAACAAAAAAAAAAAAACAGAATTCTAATATTATATCAAATTCTAATATATCAACCATACATGGGAGTAGTTAATTATATCGACTAATTAATTGACGATTTCATTAGCATTAAATTGAAAAAAATTATAATTATTTTTTTTTTTCATTAGCATTATTTTCTCTAATGGTAATGCTTTTTAATGAAACGATTTCATTAGTAATTATTTAAAAATAAATTTTCATTACCATTATTCAATGGATTTTAAAAATTTTCGAACATTAGTTCGAATTTCGAAATTAATTTCGAATATCCGAACATTATAATGTATTGTCATTAGGTAAAATCATATATGCCAAATTTCAGCACATTCGGACTAGAAGAACTAGTTTTAACAGCTTAAAAAATTTTTCGAACACGAGTTCGAATTTTCGAATTTTTTTTTTAGGTTTTATGACACAGAGATTAATTTAAAAACATAAAAAAAATTTCGAAGATAACTTCGAATTTTCGAACTTAATTTCGAATATTCGAACATATTATTGTATTGTCAACAGATGTACTTATGACTGCAAAATTTCAGCCAATTTGGGCTACGGGAACTGGTTTTAAAAGCTTTCAAACCTCGAATCTTCGAAAAATTTTCCTTAATATATTTTTCGACAATTATAAATACTAATTAAATTCGTTTTTGAAAATTCATTATCAAATTCATTACCATTATCAAAAAAAGTTATAATGAAAAAAATATAATTTTCATTAAATGGTACTTAAAATATTTTTCATTACAATTTTTTCTATAAATGGTAATGAAATTTTAATGCTTAATGAAAAATTCCCATGTATGATATCAACATCAAGTGCAATTAATTTAATTAGATAATTAATTTGTTATTTTTTATATATATTCCAGGTTCAAATATCAAAGTTGCTTCGGCGATTTTAAATTGTATATTAGCACGTCAATTATGTTTTGAAGATCCATCATGTTCAGCAATATTAGAAATAATACCTAGAGTATGCGGTCCAATACCAGGTAAGTTAAGCATTGAAATAAACAACAGTGTTGTTAATCATAAAAACGTATGTATGTACATATTTGAAGGCTATTTGTAAAGGTACACTTTGTCTTTCTTCCTTCTCATCATCTTATCATAGACATATTTTTAATCCTTTAAAGGCAACCAAGTTTTATGCGCAGTTTATTTTGTTCAAATGTTCATATTCATTTATTGTGATCATTTACAGTTAACCAATTAATTTAGAAGCACTTTTAACTTCCTGTTGTATATAAAAATATCATACTAACCTACAAATAAACATTCTTGCCACACTCAACAGTAAACAAGTTAAACCCATTTTTGTTCATCCACTAACGGTCGTTAAGAACATAAAATCTATTATTTTATTATCCTGAAACATGATCTTAAAGCATAATAAGAAAAGGACAAACTTTTACATACTCAGGCTATAGACATCGTAATAATAAGAATGTCATTAAAAGTCAACAACAATAAAACCAAAAAGAGGATGAAATAGCAATACATGTAAAAGTAATATAGTCGGCTGTGCCGAATCTTAAATACCCAACATCGAAACATGTTTTGTAAACAAGATTGTATTTAGGTATTTAAGCTTATTTCGGTAAAATAATTATAAAATAACGGTAAGGACTGTTTGCTTTATTTCCGTAACGGTAGTGGAGGTATTTAAAAAGTAACGAATGCTTAGCGGTATCGGTAGTCAAGGCTTTATATATGTATCTATGTATGCCACTATTATTCCGATTTACAATAACTTGTGCGACATCATGATTAAGGCATAATTAACATATTGTTTTGGACCTAAACAGTATTCTGGGGGGATTACTGAAATTTCAGAACTCTTACACTCGTTGGTCCCTAGCGTGATTTCAACAATCGGAATGAAAGACAGAACGCCCGACATTGATGACTAAATAATTTTAGTAGTTAATATTTAATACACCTAAGTATTTGATTTTTGATGTGTTACAAATTAAATGACAAAATCAATATACCCATTTTTGATGATGTACATACTTATGTATATAAAAATAACCATAAATATTGCGGTCAACAAGTTGTTACGACACAAACATATACTCATACAAAAAAATCATTAAAGGTTAAAGAAAATAGAGAATTACGATAAAAATAAAATAGAAAATACTTGTTGCCTATTAATAGAAGAGGAAAACATATTCAAGATACGGACAGATTATTACAGATTATTCTTTCACTTGTGTCAGTTAAATTCTTAAAGTAGACTAATTTGTTTTGTTGTTTGAAAATGTATTTATAAATAACTTTAGTTAACCTCTTAGTTGATAATTGACGATTTTTGTTCATTACTTTACTACAGTGCACAGTGAGACGTTTGCACTTATAGAATGACAATAATCAACTCTTAGAAATATTGAGCTCTAATTTTAGCAGCAGTTAATACACAGTTGATCAATCATTCCCATAATACTGCTGCCACTCCCACTTTTAAAAAGCATATATTTAAAATTAAATTTTTGGCCGCAGATATCTCTACCGAGTTTTAGAGGAACTAAAATCTCACTAACCAATTTTGTGAGAATCGGTCCACTTATAAGGTCTCATTCAGAAAATGCTTTCAACCTTATAACTAGCTTAATAATACCAGTTTGTTTGCGGAAATGTTCATAAACAATCTCTCTAACAAATTTTATGAGGACCGGTCCTCCATATAAGAATAACTTTCTCAAATGGCTTTATTTCTTACAATATATCGGTTTGATCATCAACATGATTTATTTTAAGAAATTAGTAACCCTTTTTATTCTGTAGAGCTCTGCTGACATAAAAGGTCCTTTTCCAAAAATCAAAGTCATTGGTCATTTATGAAAATAAAATGCAATTTTAGAAATTTGTTTCTTTCGTTGAATGCGGCCCTGAGTCTTTCTATTGACAAGCCATTGTGCATATGTTCTTATAATACTAAAATTAGAAAAAAAGTAATTTATGTACCGATTAGCTAATCTTAAATCTGATACAATGTTTTGATCGAATATAGTGAAAATTACGGCTGAATGATTTCTAAACACCATGATTTTTTCGTGATATTTCATAATATAGTTGAACCAAAGAAAGGCCATCAAATGTGTCTCGAAATATATTATAAATTTATTTAGTTATTTATTGCTCATAACTCATTCCACAAGTATTCCATAGAACGAACGACAATGGTCTTAACGTCAAACTAAAAGAAGTACCCGCTATTAGTATGAGTCCTAAAATTAGTTGAGAAACTAATTCAAATATTCTACAGAAAACACTTACTTGTTAAGAAAACTCATTCTCTTCAATAAATGTATGATTTCTGAATTACACAGGATAATGATGTAAAAACGTTTGAAATAATTTTCACTAATCCCAGTGTCATCTGGTATGCTGATTCCGAATATGGAAATAAAAAGTCGTATCACCCACCAATTTTCCATATTTTCATATTTTAGTCCTTTTGACTGTATACTTGTGTTCCAAATATAAAATTATGTATCGAATAGTGGCCGTATCTGACTTATACTTTAAGTTATAGAAATGTATTCTGGAAAAATACACAACGCAATAGGACCACATTAACTAGTGGCTAAACGGCTCTAAAGAAGAAACCGATTTTTAAAACAATTTTTTTCTCTAAATTTATCTTTTTGGATTTTAACAGCAAATAATTGAAATATATATTCAATTATCGTAATGTAAAATATATAACAAATTCTTCCGATCACTTAGTGTCACCAAAAATTTTGAGAAATATTTATTATTATATAAAATGTCCGTAATATATGAACAAAATATTCGATGCCATGTTGCAAGAAATGTGTGATAGAGAAAAATAGATATCAGATTCGGTTACAGCAGCTAAATATAAAATAGTCGAATTGGTTTCAAAAGTTTTTACAACCCTTCATTTCGTTGGCCTGTTTTATTAGTTAGTTGAATTAAGAAAATGCCAATGACATTCCGTGAAGTACTTAATCGATTCTTCAATATAACGACATTAACGCGATAAATTATTATTTAAATAAAAAAAAACCGGCGCGCCATCAGAAAATCATTTCTTAACTTATTCCCTAAATATACAATTAAATCATTTTACAGTATATTTTCAACTGAACAACATTAAAAGTCACTTATTGTAGTGTATTATAAATGTCACAAGTTCAATGAATATTTATTCAATACCCTCTCTCGTTAGGCTGTAGGGATAGGAATAAGGAACGGCTGGAGGAGGGTGTAAAATGAAATGAAAATAATATACCGCTATTAGTAAATGTATTTTAATGACATTTATTGATGTTTATTAATGACCACAAACAAATAATTGAGAATTTCGGAATGTATTCATAACAATAATCATAGTAAAATACCAATTAATGACCACAAGTATGCAAGCATACATACATACATACGTACATACCTACAGGCTCATACATATTTTTAATGTATAATTAACGAGGGTTGGCAATAAAGTTTTGATGATTTATTGATAATTCATGTCAACTAATTTTGAAAAAAAACCTAGATATTAAAGTATACTAGTAGATTAATTCAGAGCCCAGATTTGGCTTAGTTAGGTAGGTGAGGAAAGTAAACCTTGTTCTCTGTGTTATTTTATGTGCACTTACATATGGGCAATTCCATACGATTGTATGTGACATTCGCACGCCTTCAGAGAGCTATAGATTTTGTAAAATTAGGAGTACTTGAAAAACAATTTTGTCATTCTGTTTCATTTAAAGAATACTATATTTGCAAAAGGAATCATCCCATTCGGAACCTTGTTTTCCAAAATATGGATTAAAATATGGCGATATCATACGTGACAAAAAAAGGGAAGTTTTTTTAAAGTACATGTAAATATTTACGAAAATCTGCGAATTCTGTAGGTGTATCTATTTTGTTTTAATTTGTTACACTATGGGGTATATTTTTCATTAGTAATCCATAATTTTTAAATAAAAAATAAATTAATATAATTTTATAATGAACATATTTGAATATCATACGTGACACATCCTATGTGACAGATTTTTCTCCTGATTTTTTTTAGGTTATAAAATATATATTTTGGAAATATATGCATACACACACTTCAACAAATCAAAAGGAGTAGGAAAGTGCAGTCGGACATGGCCGACCTATATACATGTTTAAGCAATTTATAGATAAAAATAAAAAATTGGAGTTATATGGCGACTAGGGTCAAATATGGACCGATTCTTATAAAATTCTAGGGTGTGATTTTATTTCATATAAAACTTATTTGTGCCAAATTTTATCATAATACTATTGATTAGAGGTGAGTTAAGGACGTTTAAGTGTTTTTCTGAAATTAAACTTTAAATGGAACTAGGGTCAAATGAGGTCCAATCGTTATGAAAATCGGCATAAAGGTTTAGGCTTATAAACATTTTAGATCTGCCGATTTTTGAAAGGATAGTATTATAATTAACAGAATTATGAGCTAAAAAGTGTTATTATCGGTTTCGTTTGTATGGCGGCGAGGTGTAAAAATAGACCGATTTCAAAAATTTTCAACAGTCTTCGTCTTTGGTGCTACAAAAGATCATAAAAATGCAGTAGTTATAAGGGTTTTATTTTTTCAGTCGTGGTTTACCTTTTCATGGAATTGCCCATATGTAGGTTAAGGGTTTTTAATAATGTGCTGCTTTTGTAGCGTACGAGATTGTTAGTTCTACAATTACATATACCGGCTTAGTATAATTTACTGGGCCGATAAAGTCATATCCCTATAACAATTTTTCGTTGTAAGACAGCCTTTCCCACTCACCCACGTATACATGTATTTTTAATAATTTTTAAAGGAATTTAAAATTTTACCACAGAACATAAAGAATACAAAAATTCAAAGAAAGGTCGAAAAAAAAGAAAAATATTTATATACAAGACCACACTTAATTTAATTAAGAGCCTCAAACCCATCACTTAACATTGCACTTATTTGGGATGTACAAAAGAAATAAAAGAAAAACAAAATTTTTTTTATCTCTTTTATAAACAGAGAATGTAAGTAGTATGTATGTGTGTAGATTGTATGTGAATATGTAATGAATAAAAAAATAAAACTTTGCAACAGTTATTATAAATGTGTAAGCATATAGTATGGTATACATTAGCCTGGCCCCTTGTTTATATTACGAAAAAGTGTGTTCTAAAGACATAATACAAAAAGTTTTTATTGAAGGACTAAATCTGAATATGGAACATTAAAACTACTTCAAATGAGGGCATCCTAATATAATTACCCACTTGACAAAAAATCGACTTCTATTACATTGGAAACAAATAATAATTATAGCATTTCTAAATGGTTTGTCTGATTTTAATTAAATATTTTAAAATACAATGGGGGGATAATATGTGCACATATGTATAGTAGCTAGATTAAGAAAAAGTAGGTTATTAAAAAAATAATAATAAGATGCCAATTTTTATAATTTCAAAGGTCAAAAGGTATAAGTAATTGACTGCTAAACAAATTTAACATTTTCCTAAAAAGTTTATTATTCGTTAAAGTCAAAGTTATATAGAAATGTTCTTAGACTAGTTAATATACTAAGTATATAGTAAACAACAGTCATAAGACCTCTCCCTAGACTAATTCATAGACTAGTCACTAGTCTAATATATAAACTAATGATGATATTAGTCTATTCAAAGATTAGTCACTGCACTAGTCAAGAAATCAGTCTTTATACGAAGCAGGAAGATAAATAATCTGAAAAACGATTAGATACTGTTAATTCTAAAAGCTAGGTTGATTATGGGAAAAAGTAAGTACCATTTTAAAGTTTCAATTATCCAATTTTTCAACATTATTTTAAGCAATATTTTAAACTTTTGCAATCCTAGGTCAAGTGTATATTTGTAAGAGTAACTCTATATACTTTTGTGTACTCGTGTACATTAAAACTACTTTTAAATGACTTGAACTTGGTGAAAAAAGTATAATAAAACCCAATGCTTTCACATGCAATTGTAAGTTTGTGTAGTCTATATACAAAATGTAGATCTACATGTTGGTAATTGTATTACACGCATACATACATATTTATTTACATACTTATGACATCACTTTGTTATATTTAATTTAAATTATAAGAAATAGTATGGTTAAAAACAAATGACAATACATATATGATTCTATATATTTAGTCTTGTGAAAAAACTTCACTAGACATACATACATATGTATATGTAATCCTCTTCATTTATATTACAATAGGTAGGGTGTTCTTTCAGAAACTGGCAACAACAAAAACAATACAAGTATGAGATGCATATATTCTCTCAGAATCCTTTTTGTGGTATTTTTAACATGTTATTGTTTTACGCTATTCCTGTTCATGCATGCACACATACATGCACACTCATACATAATTACATAAACATATGCACATCACATACGTAATCGTGTATGTGTATAGAATGTCGTCACATTAGCACAACATGTGGCCCATAAAAGTTCTCCTTTGTTTGGCTGGCCACATAATAACAACACAAACAAAAAAAAAAAACAACAACAACACCACCATCAGTTAAACCCACTTATATATTAATGTATGTATGTGTGTCAACCTCTTCATACAAGTACAAAAGGTTGAACACTTATTATATTCCGTGCAACATTTTTATTTTTTTTTTTCACATACACTTATAGACAACGTTTTTTTATTTGTATTTATTTATGTATATGGGTTTGGTGGCCGTGAAAGCTTATTATAGACCAGTAAAACAACAAGGATATAAGAAGTAAAATAATAACAAAATAAAAATATACATTTAAATATACGAGAGTTGTTTAAAGAAGTTAAAAAATATTTATTATAAAGAATAGTATAAGTTAAGAATATCGATCGCATGTTTCTGTTAAATGCCATGCTCTCCGCAAAAATATTTTAAATATGTTAATAAAAGTTGCAATATCGGAAAGAATTATACTGACAGCTACATTAGTCGCTTTCAACGAAATATTCAAAATTTTTGTAGTAAAAATACTACAGAATCCCTTATTTATGTAATTTCCATTAACACCACAAACACATGTAAGTTTTTAAGATCTTTTTAAAATCCGTATTCGTTGAAATTGTCCTTCTGGCTGGAAATTAATAAAACCAAAATGATTTTTATACAGTTTTTCAGCCTTCTTAATGTACACAGACTGTGGGAAATTAAAATTTCATTGTTGTTTTTGTAGTTGTTATTGTTATTGTTGATGTTGTTGTTGTTTTTTTTTGGCCAAGTGTCTGTATTTATGATTTTTAATGTTTTTCACATTTAAAATAGTGTGTGGCAGCAGCATAAAGAAAGATTTATGTTTGACATTATGACTTCGTTTTTGGTTATAAAAAAAAGAATATAACAAAAATTGTTGTACAAGTGTTATTGTTACAAATAAATTTTGTTTTTATCATAAATTTCATTTTCATGTTGTTTTTCTCATTTAATGGCAAGTGATTAATTATACATGATGTTGATTAAATGGAAATTAAAAGATACAAAGAAATAACAATTAAGAAATATTACTAAAAAAAATAATAATGCTTTATAATCAGAACAAACAAATAATTTAAAGATAAAGTCTTAAGTGGGTGAAAGTAATGATATTTAACATAGATAGATTCATTTGTTTACCAAAAAAACCACAAACAAACTTTTAATTGTGGGAGAATTTCGAAAAAATCAGTTAAATTGAGCACAAATATTCTTTACTCTTAAATAAATAAAGTAATAGTAGACGTATGATTGTTATTATAACACTCATACGTAGTGCAGTACCATTAAAACTACCTAATATTATGCACAGCGGGTAAAAGGAACGTGAAATTGTTATTAATATATCTAATTTCTGCTTTGTTTAATTTCCAAATTTAGGAAAGGGATCAAATGTTCTTAAACGAAGAACCTGCGTTATGTGAAAAATGAAAAACAATTGGAATTGCTTTACCATATGGTCAACGCTTTGATAAAAAGTGCAAAGTGGATTTTTTTTAAATTTTAGTTGGGAATCGAACACCATTATTCTCTTTCCTCCCAATAACAACTTAATTTACTGGTATTTTTGTTCATTTCACAAAGTATTGTGTACTGTGGCGTATGATATATATTTTATTACTTATACGCAGTGTAGTTTGTATTTACATATCATAAACATTGACAAACAAATATACATTTTATGCTCCCAATGATTCTATTTCTTTAAAATTATTCAAAAATAAAGAAAATTAAAAACACAATTTTTTTTTGTAAGTATTTCTTTCACAAATTTAACATTATTATTATTTACAAAATCTTATACATAATCACCTTCAGTTACAATCACATTAGTATTGACATCAACATCCACAAATTATATTCATAAATCTCATATAAGTCTAGCAATTATTCATTTATATATATTTTACCTTTATAATGTCAGTTGTCACAAATTAAGCTTGTATCGTTTTGTGTGTTTAACAAACATGACCAGACGACATACAAAAACATATTAAGTCAGACATCATTTATTATATTCTGAATAACCATAAAAAATTTAAAAGATACGTAACATATAATATAAATATTTATATCTAGATACAACAGTATGGATGGATTACACATTTGCAAACACTGATGCAATATAAAATATTATAGTAGTTTGTGAATGCGAAAAAAAAAATGAATAAATAAAATATCAAATATATTTTATTTAGTTTTTTGTATACGTTTTTTTTGTTTCATTCATGTCAGTACAGTTTAATACCTGTAAAATTTGAAAACAGTTTAGTTGTTTACTAAGACCTTAAAGTATTCTCTACTTTTAAATATTAGTATGTGACTCTTACAGATTAGTCATTTTTAAAGTGAATTTTTAATAATTTTATGTTATTAACCAAAGCTTCTTCGATGTTGATATGTCAACAATTAAAAGGTTACAACTATTTTAATAATTTGATTATAAATTTCTTACATATTAAACGATTTTGTTTACCATGCTCTATGTAGAGTACTTTAAATACTTCAAATTTACGTAATAAATGATATTGCAACATGTACAAAAGTATTTGTATAAGTTAGTAAATAACAAAGAAAAATTCATTTAAAAAAATCATTCGTAATTTTAAGCTCTTATGTTGAATTCTTTAAAAAATCTACTTTAAATTAATAACTATATTTTTCTATTTTATTTAACTTTATCTTACAGTATCCTGCAGTACAGTAACTGTAACAAAATGCCAAGCGGCTTTAAGAACCCTACAAGCCTTTCAGTTCTTTCGTCCTACATGCCTGTGTAAAGAGCCTGGCATGGATCCAGATTGTAATCATTTTAGAGATTTCCTATTCGATCATCCTTGTGGATTTGTGCTTAAAAAAGGTAAGTTTTATAAATAATAAACAGTTATATGTTGAGCAACACTTAATGAAATAAATAATTTAATTTAAAAATTTCTTTTTTGAGAGTTTCATACACGTGATTTTTATGTCTTTAAAAACTCACGTGCCTTTTTGCAAACAAAAACTTATGGAAAGAAAGAAAAAAATCCTTAAGATTTCTTTTACTTTTCTGTTTGAACAAAAGCCAACTTATTTTTGCAACAACAAATTGTGTTTTAAGTGTTTTATTGTTTTTTGTTGACAATAAAAATCTTGTTGCTACTGCTGATGTTATTGTTTGTAAAGTGTTTACGTCGCAGGAAATGTTAAAATTTCTTAAAAAAAAAATAAATTGTTTTGTTTGTTCCCCTTTATACCTTTGTCGTTGGTTTGAAAAGATTATGAATGAATTTTAGTTGTCATTTTTAAGGTTTTCAGTTGGCACGTATAAGGAGTGAAATGAAATTAGGTTAAGAGTTTGCAAGTATCTTTATATTTGTTTATTTGGTGAGGTAAAAGGAACAGCAAGTTATATAATTGAAGACACCCGATAAAATGAGTAACTTAACGCTTTCTGCAAAAAGGGGACTCGAGTTGATTACGTAAATTCTTTAGAACAAGTTTTATAGAGGGATTTAGTTTCATATAGTGGCAATTTAGTGTCATGTGAAAAAACTTTTAAAATCGATGTCTTTCGATTTGGATCAAATTTGCACCAAGGTTAGTACTATTGGGTAGACACAAATTTTCAGCTTTATCGGTCAAGAACTGCCAGATAAAGTCCCTTGGGACATCACCAATTCGGTGACTTTTTATTTTTGAAAATAATCTACTACTATTTTGCTTTAGAATTTAATTAAAACCTCAAAAAGTTTATATGTAAAGTGTTAGTAATTTAAATAATTTCTTAAAAAATATTTTTTTTAATTTTATTTAACTATATTTTCAGCCGAAAGAGATCCATATCCTATAGATGCATTGCCAACATGCAATCATGCCTTATCAGTGTGTCAGCAAGAGAAAAAATGTCTAAAACTTTTCGAAGATTTTAAGGCTCATTGTAAAGTTCGAGACAATAAATGTAAAATGGAAAACAGGTAATTTCGTAATAAAAGAAAAACAAAAACTTTAAGAAAATTTATTATACATACACACATATAATGGCAAACTAAATAACAAGTTAAAATTTTTACCCAAAGGAGTCAACAACTTGTGCAAATAACTGTAATAATACTAATAACTACTACTACTACTAGCACGATTGTTATTCTGCTTCTACAACTTTTAAGAGTTTTTCATTTATTTGTATAATTTTCAATTGACTGCACCAAAAAACTCTTTCTCTCTATAAATACACATTTCTATATAAACTTGCTTAAATAATTGTATAAATGTTATATTCTCCCCTCTTATTTTCAATTATTACAACTATCATTGATAATTACAATTGCTCTAACGATGGCTCAATAATTAATAATTATGGCCATAAGCATATTTTCAAGTGCTGTTGCATGCAATTTTTATATTGGGGAGAAAAACATAAAAATATTGTTTTTTTTTTATAGAAAAACGTGTTGTACAATATAATCTACAATTCCTAGAAACCCCATAGTAAAACTCATTTATATTGTATGTTTAATTTTTTTTCGAAAAAAATCTCTTTCTCACTTATACATTTAAAGTAAACTACAAACCCAACAGTTTTCTTTTAGACAATTTACCTTAAAGTTACATATGTACATTCCCAGCAAAAACTCGGTAATGACTTATACTTGCTTAAGCACTTACTTACATTTTTGATTACTACATATCGTGTGCATTATTTTTAAGTACTCTTATAATATTATCAGATACTCAGCTACTCTATTTTAAGTTTTGTCGTTTTATTTTTGACTCCTTATTTGTAAGTACATATTTAAGTAGTTACTTGTAAGCGAGCATAGTAAGTACTTGCCTCCAGTGTCATCACCGTGTTACAATAAGGTGTTAGAATTAGAGATTCCCGAGTATCAACTTTATTGTGAATTTGATGTACGCACATGTCCCAAATGATGAACATGGGAAAAATCTGAAAAAAATATTTTTTGAAAGTGTCCCTACCACCAATTGAAAATTCTGATCGTAGTACAAATATACCAGCGAGAGACAGGAAATAAAAAAGAACTCTCTGATCGCTTTTATGTGAGAACTTAGATAACAGTAAAACCAAGAGATGAACACAACCAATATAAGAGTCTTAGCAGTTCCCTATTAAAGTTCTTTGCATATCTAGAGAGTCTGAACCGCCAGGAAAATTGTATTTTTCACTCATACATTTAAAATAAAGTAAAACTTATTAACTCATACACATGCAACTAGTTTTACTTAGCATTAAAATAAAACTGAACTTTATAGTCTCTCAGGTATATTGTTGCAGCAAGTAACTAAAGAGTTTTAACTAGAATCATAATGTTATGGTAGAATACAATATGAATTTAATACTAACATCTATATGCAGAATGTGAAGTATACATAATCTGTATATTAGGGTGACACGATTGTTATCAATTTGACATTAAGCAAAGCAACGATCGATCCTTAAATCGGAATCATAAGAAAAGAAAACATAATTCCATTTCGTTTCAATGCTTTACGATTGATTGTGTGTGTATTTTGCATTAAGATCGTATCTATTATCTATTAAAATGCAGAATATATAAATATATCAAAGAAGCAAAATTGAGAAAAATTCGATTCGATTTGATATGCAGAATATGGGTAATCCGTTTCTATAAAATCAAAATAAAAGAAAATACTTCGGATTGAATAAAAATAAATTTGAATTTCGATTCAAAAACATTTTCCAAGTCGAGTCTATAGCTCTGCAATGGAAGAAATTCCATATTAGATCTTATAAAAATAAACTGCATTTTATTACAGTTTTTGAATACTGGTTCTCCTGGCATCAAAATCGATTATCTATATATATAAAATTCGAACGTTACTGACTGACTGATTCATCATCGCACAGCCTAAACGGTTGAAGCTAAAAAGCTGAAATTTGGACAGGCGATTGGTCACCAAAAAGATCCAATAAGACTCGATTTTTGGAAATTCGAATGTTTAAGGGGAAAAACGGGTAAATTCGATAACCTCATATCTCCTAAATTAGAAAAGATACAAAAACAGTTTAAAGCTTATTGTCGTTCATTTAATTTGATTTGTATTAAAATGTGAATGAATACATAATGGGCTCCTACTACGATATTGCAACTGTAATAAAATGTTTATTACTTCAATAGGCAGAAAAAAGTACCAAAATGGGAAAAACGGGAAACTTTATTTTATTCAAACTCACTGACCCAATTTTAATAAAATTAAAGAAATTGATAGATATAGTAACACTAAATATACCAATGGGGTGTTACTTGGAACTCCGATACAAAGGACTATTTTTTGGTACTTTTTCGTTTTTTACCTGGTACTTTTTGTGTTTTTTATAATGTGATCCTATAATATGATCCTAGAAACATGATATTAAGCATGTGAACCCCGGACTTAATGAGAATCTATAAAAGGGGAGTTTTTGGTACTTTTTCGTTCTTTAAAAGGTAATTTTTGAATTTTCTATAATATTGAGCCTAGAAGCATGAAATTAAGCATGTAGGGCCCGGACTAAGTAATAAATTATTAAAGAGGATGTTTTGGTACTTTTTCGTTCTTCAAAAGATACTTTTTGAATTTTCTATAATATTGAACATAGAAACATGAAATTAAGCATGCAGGGCCCGGAGTAGGAGAGAACATATAAAAGGTGACTTTTTGGTACTTTTTCGTTCTTCAAAAGGTACTTTTTGAATTTTCTATAATATTGAACCTAGAAACATGAAATTAAGTATGTGGGGGCCGGAGTGAGTGATAAAATATAAAAGGGGATTTTTTGGTACTTTTTGGTGCTTCAAAAGGTATTTTTTGAATTTTCTATAATATTGGACATAGAAACATGAAATTAAGCATGTAGAGCCCGGAGTAAATGAGAACATATAAAAGGGTACTTTTTGGTACTTTTTCGTTCTTCAAAAGGTACTTTTTGAGTTTTCTATAATATTGAACATACAAACATGAAATTAAGCATGTAGAGCCAGGAGTAAATGAGAACATATAAAAGGGAACTTTTTGGTACTTTTTCGTTCTTCAAAAGGTACTTTTTGAGTTTTCTATAATATTGAACATACAAACATGAAATTAAGCATGTAGAGACCGGAGTAAATGAGAACCCTTGAAAGGGGACTTTTTGGTACTTTTTCGTTCTTTAACTGGTACTTTTTGAATTTTCTATAATATTAAACCTAGAAACATGAAATTAAGCATGTATGTGAGAACCTATAAAAGGGGAATTTTTGGTACTAGGTACATTTTTAATTTTCTATAATATTAAACCTTGAGAGATAAGGAGTAAATAAGAATCTATAAAAGAGAACCCTTTGGTACTTTTTCGTTCTTCAACTGGTACTTTTTGAATTTTCTATAATATTGAACTTAGAAACATAAAATTAAATAAAGGATGTCTTTTGGTATTGTATAAATATAAAATGAAACACGTAGTATCCTGATTAAACGAAAATACATATATAAAAAGAGACTTTCTGGAACTTCTGGTTGAAAATTTAATATGCACCATCCTTATTCATCTAAAATCTAAAAAAGGGACTTTTTCTTACATTTTCGTTCTCCAACTGATATTTTTTGAGTTTCCTGTAATATTGAAACTAGAATCAATCATTATTGAATGAAAACCTATGAAATATTGAACCTAGGAACCTGTACGAAAATCTATAAAAGGGGACTTTTTGATATTGCAGATATACATATTGGACTGACTGAAAATTTACAATAATATTTATTTTATTTCATTACGATGAGGATAGCGAAGCACGCTGGGTATAGCTAATTCGATTATAAAACTGTATAATAATTTTCAATTATTATTAAAATAGAACTCAATTAAAGAATCGTGATCGCTTTAAAGGGAATGAAATTTTGTTTAAATCTTATCCGCCGTTTTTTCCACTGTATGATCTATCAATCAGAAAGTCAATAAAAATGTATGTATAAAAGTGTTGTATTCAGATATGTCGTCTCTTATGCATATATCTACTATCCTTGTGTCTTAAATTTAATTTGAGAACTTAGATCATTATGGGTTATAACTTCACAATTTAAGAGAACTACTATTTTTTTAAAACCAAACCTTTTTTAGATCCAACCGAACCTTCTACGAGAAGATGGACGGACACAGCTAGATCATTTTAAAATATTACAAGGATGCAATAGGCAGTAGATGTTATACCCTAATGTGAATATGATTAAATGTACATATATACACTTATGTATGCTTCTTATTGTTTGTTCAAACAATTTTTTATTTAAGTTTTAAATTTTATTAAGAGTCCCTTAAGGTTACTAGTTTAGTTATTGTAGGGAGTGCATCAAATACTACTAACATACTTACATATGTATATGCAACAAAAAAAAGACCATAGAATCTACTTGCAACTATAAAATATTAAGCAGAAAAGTTTACAACTTTTATGATGTTATTGTTTTAGTACTCTTTTGTATATTAATGTTAAACAAAATATTTAAATCTATTGAAATTATTAAATTTTTTCCAACTAAAACAATTTAAAATATAATTCTAAAATGATAATTGTAAAAGGAAGGGACAAATACAAAAGAGCAATGAAGTAGAATTTTAAAAATGTTGAGAAAATTAAATTAAATTTGAAAATGAGTATTTTTTGTGAATGGATTTTCATGGATATATTGATCATTTAAAAAAATTTTACTAAAGAGCATAATTTGCAATTCGTAGAAGTAGTTTTGACCACCTGTATATAATGGGTAATATAAAAATTTCGAATAAAAAATAGTATGATTTTGAACATGTTTCTTTCCGTTTTCGAATAAATTCGGTATACACCTACTTCTTGTAAATACAAAATTTTAAGTTCTGCAAAATTTCTAAATTCGTTACGCTTTAGATTTTATTGAGGTCATTTTTACATAAGATTTTTATAAAGGTCGTTCCTCAGGACACTCTAGTGTACAATCGGACTTGTTTTAATTCAAATATTTTTCAGTATTTTTATATGGTGATAAGAATCTATTTACGTAATTAAACATAAAATCTTTTCCAATATTTATTTTAAAATTCAGATAAAATTACATTATTAAAGGATAGTCACCCTAATTTAAATTGTACTAAAGGGCAAAGAAATCAAATATTCATTAGAGTTTACTTTGCTATTTTAGACAAGTGCACAGTTGTTTAAAAATAACATTTTCTAGCAAAAATGTTAAGTTATCAACAAAATTGGGAATAAAAAATTTGTGTAAAAAAAAAAAAAAATACGAAATGTATTTATTTTTTAAGTAAACAAATTATTTATTATGTATGGATGATATTAATATATGTATGTTAATTTTCTTCTATTTTCAGAGATGCATGTCATGATTCTTGGACAAATCTGAGATTATCACCCATGTTTGGTTGTATATGTCCAAATAATCATATGAAAAAACGCTGTGATCGTATATTTAATATAGTTAATCACAATCCGTGTGTCGGTAAGTTGTTCTCAAGACACTCGTTCAACTATTAAGAAATCAAATAAACAATAGAAAATTAAAAAAAAAATTAACCCAGAAAAAAAAACAACAACAGAAATTTACAAAAATACACTGAAAGGAATTAAAAAAACGAAAAACATTAATTAATAAAACATAAAAACACTAGAAACATAATTTTATATACAAAAAAACGAAAAACTAGTAATTATTTATTATTGTTATTATAATTTTTTAATTATATTAATATAATATTTTAAGTTTTCTTATGTTTTAGTTATTTACTTTTAATTTTTGAATATTTTTGTATTTTTTAATTTTATTTTAAGTTTAATTTAACTTAAATTTTATTTTCTATCACTCGCCTTTAACCAAAAAAAAAAAATAAAAGTAAAATAACAACCTACAAACTTACGCACGCTTCTGCATTTAAACCAAAAAAAAGTATAAATTTAAAATTGTGTATATTTGATTTGAAACCAAAAGTAAACTAAATCTTTAAAAAATCCTTGTATTTATTAGTTTAATTAAAATTAAAAAAAAAAAATAACATAAAGCTAAAGACTGTTACCAAGATGTTATAAATATAATCATTAAATCCTTAAATACCAAATAGTAGTGTGTGTGCGTTCCTATCTTTCACCATATTTTTTTTCCAAACAAAATAAAAAAACAATTCTCTCGCTCTCTACTCACTTTAAACTAATCACCACGAAATTTCTAAATATTAAGAATTTTTTGAAAGAAAAAAATTCTAAATTATCTAAGCATTTGCTTCAGTTGTATTTTAAATGTATATAAAAAGTATTGAAATAATATTGAAAATTTTAACCAAATATTGAGGCTGTATATAAGTAAAAGAAATAATTGTGGCTTTTAACTGCACCATTTGAAAATTGTACAGCAATACCAGCACTGTTATACTTGTTAAAGAGTACGAATTATTTTCTCTACATAGTACTTACTGTTAAGGTTAGTTTATTTGCTTTGTTACACTTTTTTGTATATTATTTTAAAATTTGTATTTTTTTCAATTATTTATTTTTAATGTTTTTTATTCACCAGCACCTTTAAATTAAGAAATTTAGCACTTGTATTAATCGTTTTTATCAGACAAATTCTTCAAATAGTACGTTCTTAATAAAGAAAATTTATAAATTTTATTTTGCAAAGTAATCAATTTGTGTTAATTTCATCGCTAGATGCTCTAAAAAATTTTCCTTTTCTTTTTTTTGTATAAAACCCTAAAATTGTTCATTAATAAGGTATATTTCGCACCAAATATCAGTCAGAACAGAACTGGAACAGACATAGCTGAATAAATAAATAATAAATAATTTCTAAAGAATGTGTGTGTCGAAAGCTTTCCCACAACAAGTTCCGTGAATGACAAATTCGAACAAAAATCTTTGAGTGAAACACTGCTTCCAGAATCATTTAATAGGTCTAGTTTTAAATGCAGTTCTGAAAGTAAAAATTTAAGACAAAATCATTTGCCAAAACAAAAATACAATAACAATTCCATTTTTTCTGTGATATTTATCAAATGGACTTTTTTCATATCCGAAATAACATTTTTAAACTGGATCTATCAATTCGAGATTTAAAAGAGGTCCTTACTTAAGTCTACTATTTTTATAATTTTTATATAAGTTTATTTTTCTGTTCATAAGTTGATCTCATAAGGAACAAATACAATTTGTAACTAGGTATAGGTATTGAAGTCGGTTTAGCGATGCCCGTCTACGCAAGCCCCCTTTTTAGTTAAGTTTGTTTTCAAATGTCTGTCCGTCTGTATGTTTGTTGAAATCAATTTTCTGAAGATCCCAGATTTTCGGGATCCAAATCTTCAACAATTCTGTCAGACATGCTTTCGAGAAGTTTTCTATTCAAAATCAGCAAAATCGGTTCATAAATAACGGCGATATGAGCAAAAATCCGAGACAACCTCTAAAAACGTCATCAAAAATTGAGAATTTTCTAGCATGCTGCGGCAGAGATTATAAATAAACAACAACAACACACACAATCATACCGTAAATTTTGTTATTGGAATTACTTGTTTATAAAAACACTGCACAGAAAGAACAACAATTACGAATGAAGCAGTGTATTGTTATTGCCTATAAACATGAAATTAAGTATGTGGAGCCCCGATTAAGTGAGAACAAATAAAGGGGGAGTTTTTGGTACTTTTTCGTTGTACAAAAGGTATTTTTTGAATTTTCTATAATATTGAACCTAGAATCATGAAATTAAGTATGCAGAGCCCGGAGTATGTGAGAACAAATAAAATGTGACTTTTTGGTTCTTTTTCGTGCTTCAAAATGTAATTTTTGAATTTTCTATAATATCGAACCTATAGACTAAATAATTTCAGCATTTAGGGCCCGAAGTAAATGATAAAATATAAAAGGGGATGTTTTGGTACTTTTTCGTTCTTTAAAATGTACTTTTTGAATTTTCTATAATATTGAGCCTAGAAGAGCATGAAATTAAGCATCCTTTTATTTATGAAATTAAGTAAGTGATAAAATATAAAATGGGATGTGTTGGTACTTTTTCGTTCTTCAAAAGATACTTTTTGAATTTTCTATAGTATTGAACATAGAAACATGAAATTAAGCATGCATCCGAAGTAGAAGAGAACATACAAAAGGTGACTTTTTGGTACTTTTTCGTTCTTCAAAAGGTATTTTTTGAATTTTCTATAATATTGGACATAGAAACATGAAATTAAGCATGTAGATCCCTGAGTAAGTGATAAAATATAAAAGGACCAATAAGAAACTTTTTGCCCAAAAAATCACAAGAAGAGTCCATAACCGATCCGCAAAACAGAGTGGTGGAAGCAGTACATTTAAAGAATAAAAAACAAGTAGTTTTATCACTACTCAATTTATCAATACCTTTCACTGAGGTAAATTTCGTAATTTTGTCATATGGCTAATTATGCACGGATCAGTATAAAATTTACGTCGAAATAAAAATTTCTAAGAGATTTTTAAACGTATGACTGATTTTCGGATCTTAATCTTAAAGTAAGTTTAAAAATTTCCACAAATTTAAAAAATGGAGTCACTATTTGCAAATTACTAGTATAGAGCATCATACGATCGGCCTTAGACTACTACAACTTCTGGCTCATTTTCAATTGAAATTACATATCTTGGTTTTATTTTCAAGCAACTTAATTAATTAACTAAATTTATTTAATTTAATTTTTAATTTATTATCTTTTTGTCACTTTTACAATATTGTTTGTTAAAAAAAAAAACATCAAAAAAATCACTGTAACTCTTATGAGAAAGCACCTAATTGGTATGCACATCTACACATACAATAAATTATGCACTCTACAACCTCTACACTAACTATTTCACAAATTAAAAAGCACTCTATTAATTTACCAAAGAAAGTAAAAATATAAAAAAAACTCACTTAATTTTAATGCACTCTCTGTACTTAAAAAAGCACCTTATGCACTTTTTGTCTTCTTTTTTTCTTTCTTTCTCTTCCTCCACAACTTTTATTTTCGTTTTGCTTTATGTCTCGTCAAACCAAAAAAAAAAAAAAACACAACAAAAAATGTTTAATTACAGACAGATTAATATTCTTTCCCAATGGTTTAACGCCAAAGTTGAAACAACAATTTAAACAGGAAAAGCTAAAGAAAAAGCAACAAAGGCAACAGAGAAAAAAACAAAACCAACAAACAGCCACAGCGAAAACAACATCATTAAAACAGCGACAACAGTTACACCACCATCAACAACATCAGCAGCAGCAACATTATAATATAAGCCAGCAACATAATTATATACAACAGCAGCAGCATCACAGGCAATATAGTTATACTAGTAGTGGTGGTGGTGGTAGTGCTGTTGGTGGTGAAAGTGAAAATCTTAATAACAATAACAACAATATTGAAGATTTCAATGGGGATTTTCATTATAATGAAAATCGTAAAGACTATATGGAAATAGGTGATGCTGCTAAAGGAAACTTTCCAAATACCCACTACAATAGTGACAATGAAAATGTGGTTATTGGTGTTGCAGCTGCTGATGGTGGCAACAATGATGATGACGATGATGATGATGATTATGGCGATGAGGATGATGATTATGAAGAAAATGATTACGATGATCTAATACGTGCCGAAATCTATTCAAATTATCCTCATTATTTACATCCACCCTCATGGGGTCTTAATAATCCCTTAGTTTTAGCCTCCCATAGTCCTCATACTTACGACGATGATGTTGTTATAGAAATTGGAGAGAATAAACCCACAACAACGTCCATAAGTGTGATTAAACATCAGCAGAAGCAAGTGCAACAAATGTCACCACCTTCAACCATACACCTGGATGATTTAGAACAAAATGTTGACGATGTTGTTGTCGTTGTCGATACTGGCTCACGTTCGCATAAAAATATTGGTGGCATTAGTGTTGGCATTGGCACCATACAGACAACCGGTCTGGGTGCTAATGACATTCATGATATGCATCGACAAACCTATTATACCCATAGTGAAGATATTCTTTATAAACAACATCAGCAGCAGCACAAATTTAATAGTCCAGCAAATGTTGCAACCACAACACCATCGTCTAATCTGTATGCAAGTGATATTAATAAACATCAAACAAAAAATATAATGTATGTGTAATGCTAATATATTTACATTTATGTATATTGCCATAGGTGAAAGTTTATGCCATTAGAATAGTATTAAGGTGATAAGAAATGCACTAACAATACACACACATACCTCAATGCACAAATACTAACAATAGCACAATGATATAACTTGCCACATGCACAAGATTATTTTGCACATCACATCACAAATTTAATTCTATTAAGTATGAGTATTTACTTTAATATGAAAAGGTTTAAAAAATCTTAGAAATTCCTAAATGTTTACAGTATAGTTAATAAATTCTGAATAATTTTTTAAGTAAAATTAATAAACATTTGCCACGACTGTGTTAAAAGGATCCACAGGACAGTAATTTTTTTTAGTTTTTGTATAATTTTTCATAAAATTGATTTCACAATCAGCAAAAGTGTCATAATTAATTTTAAAGTTTACAGCAGGCGTCATCGAATAAACTATTTTATCGAAACCACGTTTCGATAGCGAAATTAACATCAAAAAGAATGATATATTTGTACACTACACCACCATAGTGGAGAGAAGGGTATTATGCATTTGTGCTGACGTCTATAATGCACAAAAAATATTTGTCATATATCAAACAAGTACAAAGATCAACTCAGAATCACTTTCTGAGTTGATTATCAAATGTCCGTCCCATACTGGTGTAGAACGTTTTGCCCGATTCAAATGAAATTTTACACGCTAAAGTTTTAAATTTGAATCTCATGGGTCCATCATGTTGCCACTAGTCTGCTGTCAATTAATTTTTATAGCATAAGAGGTATTCGCATTTAAAAATCAACAATTCAACATTTTCACCTAGCCTCCTTCAGTTTTTTATGTCAGCGAATATATTCCGATTTTCTTTATTTTTCTTTTATTCGCTAAACAACAAATTTACATATCAAACGGTGAAATAATTGTTTAAAAATCAATCAAACTGAGTCCAAAGTTATTTATTTATACCCTGCTTCACCATCAGTGGTGGTAGAGGGTATATATGTATATAAGTTTGTCATTCCGTGTGTTACACCAAGAAATATTCATCTGAGACCTAATAAAGTATATATATCCCAGCAAAATATTTGCTTACAAATTCACTAGAAAAATCACCAGAATTCATCGAGTAAAGTGCTTACAATTCTACTAAAAAAGTACTTATTTTTGTTTGAGATTTTCCAAAAGTAAGTCAATATTATTTGGTTGGAAATAAGTTGTTTTTTTAGTAGAGTTATTTATAGAATATTTATGAAAAAATTAAAATAAAAAGTCGACACAGACTGGGGTTGAACTCAATACCTTCCGTCTGCCAGTTGGATGCTCCACTCACTACACCACTGCTTAGCTATTTTATTGTGCGTCAAATAATAGTTTTCACACACAAATACTATTTTATTTTCTGTTTGTCTAAAAATAGATATTTGATATCGTGTGCACAAAAAAAGGAAAAACAAGTAAGAGTGTTATATTCGGCCATGCCGAATCTTATATACCCACCATCAAATCATCCTTATAAATAAACTTTGATATTATCGATCTATGTTGAATCATATGTCGATATTAATATGAACATCAGGGAAATATTTGGTAGATGGAATTTAATAAGGGCTTAAGCATGGACCGTGCTCTTCCGAATTAAAAATATTAATTTTGTTTGATCCAATATTTATAACCATAAACTGTTTTTTTGTAAGAGTGGTTATATGGAGGGTAGAGTCAATGATGGACCTATCCTTGTCGGTTTATACAATAATTATTTGTATCTAATGTAGCTGTACTTGTATCTTTAATTCAGTCATGAGGTTTAAAATATTTATCTGAAGAGAACTGAAAATGGGTGTTTGATTAGTTATCGTCATCAAATTCAGTTGAAAACTTCCAGTCCTATAAAACTACCGTAATTTGGAAGAACTTTTGAGCCATACATGAGCGTTAAAGTGATTCTCTGGAGTGAACCGTATAAGTCAATTATGGATCGATACTTCTAAAATTTAAAACGATTTTTAGTTTTTGGCTAGTACAAAACTTGTTTACGTAGATTTTCACTGCTCTAATCGCATTTTTTAGTCAGTAATGAGCGTTAAAGTCATTATCTGAAGGGGACCTTATAGGAGGGTAGGGTCAATTACAGACTGATCCTCATAAAATTTAGTAGGAGATTTTAGCTAATACGAAAATTGTTTATGCCGAAATTCATCGATGTACTCGCAGTTTTAAGCTAGTAATGAGCTTTAAAGTCATTTTCTGAAGGGGACTTTACAAGTGGGATAGGGTTAATTAACGACCGATCCTAATAAAATTTGATAAAGAACTTTTGGCTTGGACAAAACTTGTTTATGTAGAATTTTACTTCTGTACTCACATTTTTGAGTCAGTAATAAGCCTTAAAGTAATTTTCTGAAGGGGACCTTATATGGGGGGTAGGGTCAATTATGAACCGATCCTTATAAAATTTTACGAAGAGATTTAAATTCTTATAAAACATGTTTGTGCCAAATTTCACCTCTATTGATGCTGTCCTTAGCCCGTTATGTTCGATAAAGTCATTTTCTGACGGGGACTTTTTATGGGCTGTAGGGTCAATTATGGGCCTATCCTTATAAAATTTTACAAAGAGATTTAGGTTCCCATAAAACTTGTTTGTGCCGAACTTCACCGCTATTGATGGTTCTCTTAGCCAGTTATGGGCCATAAAGTCATTTTCTGAAGGGGGCTTTATATGGTGGGTAGGGTCAATTATGGTCCTATCTTATAAAATTTTACAAATAGATTTAGGTTCTTATAGAACATGTTTGTGCCAAATTTCACCGCAATTGATGCTTCTCTTAGCCAGTTATGGGCGATAAAGTCATTTTCTAAAGGGGACTTTATATGGGGGGTAAGGTCAATTATGGACCGATTCTTGTAAAATTTTACAAAGAGATTTAAGTTCTCATTAAACATGTTTGTGCCAAATTTCACCGCAATTGATGCTTTTCTTAGCCAGTTATGGGCGATAAAGTCATTTTCTAAAGGGGACTTTATATGGGGGGTAGGGTCAATTATGGGCCTATCCTTATAAAATTTTACAAAGAGATTTATGTTCCCATAAAACATGTTTTTACCAAATTTCACCGCTATTGATGCTACTTTTAGCCAGTTATGGGCCATAAAGTCATTTTCTGAAGGGGACTTTATATGGGGGGTAGGGTCAATTATGGGCCAATCCTTATAAAATTTTGCAAAGAGATTTATGTTCCCATAAAACATGTTTGTGCCGAATTTCACCGCTATTAACGCTTCTCTTATCCAGTTATGGGCGATAAAGTCATTTTCTGAAGGGGACTTTATATGGGGGGTAGGGTCAATTATGGACCGATCCTTATAAAATTCTACGAAGAGATTTATGTTCCCATAAAATATGTTTGTACCGAATTTCACCGCTATTGATGCTTCTCTTAGCCAGTTATGGGCGATAAAGTCATTTTCTGAAGGGGACTTTATATGGGGGGTAGGGTCAATTATGGACCGTTCCTTATAAAATTCTACGAAGAGATTTGTGTTCCCATAAAACATGTTTTTACCAAATTTCACCGCTATTGATGCTTCTTTTAGCCAGTTATGGGCCATAAAGTCATTTTCTGAAGGGGACTTTATATGGGGGGTAGGGTCAATTATGGGCCAATCCTTATAAAATTTTGCAAAGAGATTTATGTTGCCATAAAACATGTTTGTGCCGAATTTCACCGCTATTAACGCTTCTCTTATCCAGTTATGGGCGATAAAGTCATTTTCTGAAGGGGACTTTATATGGGGGGTAGGGTCAATTATGGACCGATCCTTATAAAATGCTACGAAGAGATTTGTGTTCCCATAAAACATATTTGTGCCGAATTTCACCGCTATTGATGCTTCCCTTAGCAAGTTATGAGCGATAAAGTCATTTTCTGAAGGGGGCCTTATATGGGAGCTAGGCGAAATCGTGGACCGATATTGCCCATTTTCAATACCAAACAAACTGCATCAACTAGAAGTATCTGTGCAAAATTTCAGCTCGCTAGCTACTTCCGTTTGGACTCTATCGTGTTTTCAACAGACAGACAGACGGACAGACGGACGGACATGGCTAGATCGTCTTAGAATCTAATAAGGACCCAGAATATATATACTTTTATGGGTCTTAGACGAATATTTCAATGTGTTACAAACAGAATGACAAAAACAATATACCCCCCATCTTTTTTGATGGTGGGTATAAAAAGAAAAAGTAACTGTTTTATGTTTGTTTGTTTCTTTATTTTGATTTTTTTTAGACTTTACATACAAAGTAAGTCATTAATAAAGTACTTAATGGTAATCATTGTAAGCAAAGATTTTGCTGGGATATTATGAATCCTTATGAAATTATGAGTCGATTAAGCTGCTCCGTCTGCCTGCCACAAACACTCACGTTAAAACTAAGCAAAAAAAATCAGCCAAATTTACTGAAAATAGTCACTATTGTCCTAAGTAGTTTGGTTTTGAAAATCAGCCAAATCGGTCCACAACGTAAAAAGTTATGAGTAAAAATTTCAGACTACCTCGAAAAAAATTTGTTTTTTTTCCTAATTCTTAAGTAGTTTTCTCAGAAACTACTAATGATAATTAAATGAATTTTGCCACACGTTATTTTCTTTGCCTAGGGATCAAATTTGTATGTTCAAGCACCCATACAAAGGTACATATTCTCGGAAATAAATTTATAGTTAATAACTTCGGCAAAAATATCGGTATCACCACGAAATTTCTCACATATGTATATAATATGAACAGAAATCATATTACCAACGTAGCTACATTATTGATCATAGCTCCCATATAACTAATTAAGAAATAAAGATATTAGTATAATATTTGACACGAATATGTTTTGAGTATACTTATGTATATCACTTTGCAAAATATTTTTCGGATTAATCCATAATTCGGCATAGCTTCCATATAAGGCCCATTTCCAATAACCACGTAAACGCACATATTTCATAACTCAATGAAGATATCAGTATAAAATTCTAAATGATAGCACCCTCATCATGGAAGTATAATTTAAAATTTCGCAATTTATTAAATACGTATCTTGAAATATTTAGAAGGGTTTTCATAAAAATTAGCTTACAGATGGAGGGTATTTAAGAGTCGTCATAGCCAAATATAGCACTCTGACTTGCTTATTTTTAAGTTATCGGGGTTCCATAACCCCGCCTCTGGTATGGATATTATAGCTAAAGAAGAAAAAATTCCATTTCTGTGATTTTTCAAAACTTTTTTGGGAATTGAGGAATAATACCCAGGAAAAACTTACATTGAAAAGTAATGAGTTAAATAGCTAATAAAACCTCTTTTCAGTACTTCTTCATTAGCATTTTAAGTCATTATTTTAACACGGTGATGTCATTGGAGGCAAGTACTTCTACGCACGCTTACAAATAGGGACTTAAAGAAGTACTTGCAATTTCCCTTACAAAACAGTTGTTGAGTAAGTTGTTTTGTTTTTTAATAATAAAAAGAGCCAGCTAGAATACGAACCAGGGGCTTCGGTTTGTTAGTCAAATGTTCTACGCACTGCACCACTGCTTAGCTATTTTATTGCGCGTCAAATAATGGTTTTCACAAACAAAACTAATTTTGTTTTATTTTTTGAAAACACAATTCTTAAAACGCAATTAAATAAAATGTGCAAACAAAATGACAAAGCCGAAAATAAAGTACTTCTATATCAGATTATAAGAAAGCCATTACTAGAGTACTTCTATGTAATGCAGACGGTAAGTAGTAGTCATTGAAAAGTAAGAGGTTATGGAAGTACAACCCATTACCGAGTTTTTGCTGGGTACGTATACGTAATTTAGCAGTTACTTCAATAGTTAGATGATTATGCAGTATTTACTAACGATATATTTTTTAGCCTTTGTTTTTAACAAAATCTCAAATTTTGGTCTCCGAAATCCATTTTTTCCGATATTTTAATTATGATTTTTTTGTTAGTTAGAATTGTTTGTGTTATATGTGATGATATGTATTCTTAAAACTGATGTCTCTTAATAGGTTTAAATAAATCTTTGTGAACTTTTACTAGCTAACGTAAATCTTTAAATTACTTATACAGAATAAAAAATTTAGTTGACACAAAATTTTATTTACATATATTTCGTAGTAAAAACAATTTATTAACGAAACTAAAATCCCAAAACTATTTGAACAATTTTAAAATAATTTATTCCTTTGTGGATACTACATACACATTTTTTTCATGTATTTCGTATTAAACCACAATATCCACAAATTGATGTATAAATGAATTCATAGGTATACATATATACAAATATAGGTATACATACATATTTATTTTAAAATACTTATATTTTCAAATGTAAACATGTAGGTATGTTTTCAAGTATTTGTGTAATATACTTTAGATCTAAAATCTATTTGGTATGTGGGTAAATAACATATTCCTGTTTTACATTGATATTAAAATATATACATACAGAAATTAATATGTATATATATGTGTATGTGTATATTAAAAAAATTATATACAACAAAATATAACACTGAAGAATAACACTTCCGTTAGGTAAATTAGATTAATTATTTATTTTTAAATTATAATAAGATTCTGTTGATATGAAAATCTATAATGTAAATATGTATGTACTATATACACATCTTTGAAAATATATGACTTAAAAATCCCTGCAATTCTGCATGTCTGTCCGGAATTAGTAAATAATATATTACTTCGAGGATGTTAAAAAAAACTTCTCATACAAGTGTATATAAAATTGTTGGGTTGAACCTCGTAATTGCCACATATACATAGAGATTTGTATCCTTTTGTTTTTGTACTTGACTTTTGGGATTACTCATTTAATCTGATTTTATAATGAAACTTATTCGATTCACTAAATGAGGAATTTATATGAATAACTTTGAACACACAAAGGTAGACTAAAATAATAATTTTTTTTTTTTTTCAAAATATCAGATCGACACATAATGTGATAAAGTCAACTAACTAATTAATTGGATTTTTTGTGAATGTTCATATTGATTTGGAATAGAATTTTCGTGTGTCAAACTTGAATATAAATATTTTGAACAATCTTGTATTCTTAAGCGTTCAGTGGATAAGAAATGTCTCCAATAGTTTGTAGTAAATACATATATAACGGGTTATACAAGAACTCATTTCATAATTAAATAAGTAGGAAAGTATAGTCGGATATGGCCGACTTATTCCTATATAAAACTTAACTATACCAATTTTTGGTGAGATAGTAGTATATTTGACGTGGTAATGAGTTAAAAACCCAAAATCGGAAGCTCAGATTGTATGGGACTAGGTGAAATAATGCTTGTATGGCCCAAATTTTATCAAAACATCTTGAAAATTGTGGTCTGTAGCTTGCGCCAGCTAGCCGGACAGACGGACGGATATGTCTTAATCGACTTAGAAAGTGATTCTGAGTCGATCGGTATACGTTTCGAAGTACTTTTTATACTCTATTTGAAATGGACAGGGTCGATTTGGAATTTTCAAAAATTGTATAAAAGTTTTGGTCTTATGTTGACCAAATAAAATATAAACAGACGGTCTGATATATCTTAATTGACTCAGAAAGTGATTCTGAGTCGATCGGTATACGTTTCGACGTACTTTTTATACTCTATATGGAATGGACAGGGTCGATTTGGAATTTTCAAAAATTGTATGAAAGTTATAGCCCTAATGTTGACCTATAAAAAAAGGTTACAAAACTGTTATCAAGAATCGAAATTGATTAAAATTAATAAATATAAATGAATTAGTAAACCTAATCATATGAGCAGGAGTGTGTGCGGTAGTTGCTTGCTTAAAAGGCGAGAGTGTGAGACAAAAAATCCCAAGTTTGGAAATGAATATTTAATGATTTTCCAATAAAGCTATGAGACATTTTAAATTCAAACCGGAAATACATATAATAAGTATTAGTTGAGAACATATGCAAATAATGGAATTTTAAAGCAACCGGTAGTGAAATTTTTGAATTACATTAATAAAACATTTATAAATTTAGCATTGGCTTTAAAATTCTGAAGCAATTTTTGGAATTCTAAGATTTTTTTCCTATAAATATAAACAATTAATTTTACGTATGTATATAAAACTTTGCACAAAATAAGTATCTCTCCTAAGATTACTAAACTATTTGTATATATTTATGTATATCACTTAAGCACATTCAACTTTCTTTTAATATAGTTTTTATATATGTCTCACATTATATTAATGAATCACAAATAAATCACTTCTTTTTTTTCTTTCTGCACTTAAAACTCACTAATTATATACATTTATGTGTATCTGTGTATTGATTGCTGTATAAATTCACAAAAATTGCAATAGTACTAGCACCAAAATGCACAAATATCCTTTTAAAGATGAATTTACCACCGGTAGCGATGTTTATACCCACCGTACCTATGAGGGCGATACAATGGACGAAAGAGGTAAGTAGATAATATAATTTAAAATTGCTATTAATAAAATTTTAAACATTCATTTCATGCATTTAAATATTAAGTAACTTTCTTACATGCACAATTATTAATAAAAATTTAGAATATTTTGTATAGCAATTAAAAATGAATTAAGTAAATAAATAATTAAATAAAATTAAATAGAATAAGTTATTCTAAGTAATTTACAACGATATACTAAATATCAGTCTATTGATTACTACATTGACCAGTCAATGGACTAGTCTATATGACTAGTCTATGGGACAGTTAATGGAGAAGTCTATGGACTTCTATCACTAAAATTTTTCTGTCGAGAGATATTTTCAGAAAAAGAAGAAGTTTAAGTACTCCTTACTTACGAAATTTGTGTATTTTTTAATATTTAATTACTTATTAATTCCTAAAGCTATATGTAGTATTTCTAAGTGATCAATACATTTTATTTATGAATTCAGTGATCGTAATTTCAGGTATAGGTACACGTTTGCTATTTTTCCTTCTCAACAAATAAACAATAACAATATTCCTAAAATTTTTATACCCTTCACCTTCGTGACAAGGGTGTTCTCACGGTGGTCTTTTTCAACCACTGGCTGAGCTTTGTGACGACTCACCACCGCCCGCTCAATCTTCAATGAAGAAATCAGGTGGCAATTTCTGTACATGGCTACAGCCGGTCATGTAAAAGCACTTTGCTCAAGTGTTCGAGCTATTTAATCTCTGACCATTGCTGCCCCGTTGCTTAACTTCCGAGATGTAAAACATCCTTTCCGTTTACAACCACGCAGATGGGAAGGCCTCTGTTGATTCGGCAACAGCACCTAGAGACGTAACCGGTAGATCGAAGTACCAATACATCAAATAAGCCAGGACTTTGTTCTTACTCACAGTGACACACTGTGGTAATTCTGATATGAACAGAGTTTACTCTAAACATATCTGGCCAAGGAAGGAAAATTCAATGTTATCATTTGTGTATGATACCTTTCATCCATCTTCATACAACCCAACACACTTCTCATTTATCCGACACATTCATAAGAGAAAAACATACGACATATTTATTCTAGGTAAGCGGGTGGATGAGGCCCGCATACCTCACATTCATCCCGTACCATATACAATCAACACCAACTCATTTCCAACGCTTAGACCCACAGTTACTCCTCCGTGGGGTATCTGTTGTTTCGGCAACAGCACCGAACTTATCCCGAAATATTGACTTTACCCTACATCAGTCCTTTTACCGCCACTTAATCTTCCCGTGAATTTAGTTTTAAATCACAGCCACTATGTGGATCCCGTAGGAGCAACTGGCCACCCGTAGTACCAGATTATGTGGTTCCCTTGTTAGACCTCTTTCCAATTTATACAAGGACTAGGACAGGCAGTAAATTGTAAACACCAATTTATAGTCCCGGGCGACTAGAGGTATTGGTAGCACCTATCTACCCCCGGATTGCAATACACCAAGATGGGATCTGTCATCAAGGAAACATTCACGGGGGCCGTGAGAAGGGTATATATATATATATATATGTTTGTCATTCCGTTTGTAATTTCTATAATATAATTATCCGACCCTATAATTTATATATATTCGGGATCATTATAGATAGCGGAGTCGATTTAACCATGTCCGTCTGTCTGTGTCTATGTTGAAATCAGTTTTCAGAAGACCCCAGACATCTGAGATCCGAATTTTCAATAATTCTATCGGAAATACGATCAAATAGAACGCTATTTAAAATCAGCCCAATCGGCCCATAAATAACGAAGATATGAGTAAAAATCCGAGACCACCTCTGAAAATTTCCTCAAAAATTTACATTTTTCGTACATGTTTATACAAAACAATAAACAGTTATGGCTGTTAAAGCTATTTTTCGGGGGTCCACTTGTATGGGGCTATGCTAAAACGTTGGATGATATTTTGATGTGTTACAAACGTAATGATGGGTATAAAAAATAAACTTTCAAATATTGAGGAATGTTGAATTTTAAGTTATTTATTATTATTGCTAATATTCGATTTTTAAGTTATTCCTTGCCCTAAGGTAGGTGGTCCTTCTTCCAACCTAAATTGAAATATTTTCATATATAACGGATATTCTTTTAAATAATTTCTTCGCATTAAAATTAAATTTTAACCACTAAATTTTAAAAATTATCGAAAAATTTAAATTTTTACAAAATTTTAGCAGTTTAAAATATTAACATATAAAAATTATCAATAATTATTGATTCTTTGTTTTGTTTCGAACTTATCAGAAATTTATAAATCACTTGTGTTATTTTATGATTTAAAACATATCAATTGGTACGGTGTTACAATAAAAATTCATATGTATGTGTAAATCTAATAGGGTAGTTTCAATTAAGAGAGAATCTAATTGAATCTAATTTAACAAAGATGTTGAAAAGTAATTTCGAAATTAAAGAAATACAAATTTTCTTGCGGCTAATTAAGAAATATATAAATATGTTAAGTTTTTAGCAAATATCTTGTCTATAATATAATAATACTAATAAAAAAGAAAACCAGTGTAATCAAATTACATGTATATATAAAAAAAATTATACTCATAATCATCAATATTATTACTGCTACTACTATACTACTACTAGTGCAGAATTATTATTATTATTATTATTATTTGTAGCTGTTGTGGTTATTGATGTTATGTTCGGTTTTGATATTCGTATCTGCATTTGAAAGAAATAAATTTGTGTATTGACATGCATTCTATAACTTTAGAAACACACACAGACCCAGATATGGATACATACATATATACATATCGTCACCTGAAAAGCAAACGGCCCTAACTAACCAAAAATCTAAAATCGATGTTATTGCAGATTCTAATGTATTGCATCAAAACAAATGTCCACAAAATAAATTAGACTCCTCCGACCAAAATTAGCGATCTTATTGACAAAAAACAAAAGGCCCTATCTACAAAAACATTTAAATATTAAAGATAAAAAATCCGATTTATCCATGTTTATGTACGCCAATGTCAACTATCATAACAAATAATATGTTTCACCATTAAACAATTTGTTTATTTTATAAAAATAAATTGCGCTAATAGAAACAAACTTTTCAATTTAAATAGTTTTTTGCTTCTCCTGTAAATTTTTAAAAATGTTAGATAGGGCCGTTTGCGTTTTAGGTGACGATATGTATTTATATGTATGTATGTTTAACATTATGTTGAATGAAATCGTAGTCAACATCAACTTTGTCAGCACAGCACCAGTTATGCTGAACACTTTGGGATTTTGAAAATTAATATGTAATACGAAGTGGAGTTCTAAAAACGCAGAAAAGGATTCTATGGAAGATATATTACCCTTTGTGTTAACCACAGCATACATATGACATTTATTCGATTTTTGTTTATCCTTTATTAGTTTTCTTTAAATGATGAAGTTCAAATACTAGTTTCCTTATTTTTTTTGCATTTGATCCTATTGTGCAATAAAATAAACATACATACATATCTATGTATTTTTGATGATAATAATGTTGTTAGCTATTCATAATTTCTATACATTTGTCATACGTATACATTAGGGTGGCCCAGTTGTTATGGATGTTCCCACCGAATTAATGTCTCATTGCAAGATATAATTACTTAAACTTTTTGACTGATATATTTAGCTATAATCCAATGAAATCTTGAAGTGAAAATTTTATAAAATTACTCGTATCTTAATATAAGTACATATTATGTAAATTTTGATTAAAAAGATAACACCAGATCGGTTAGAAAATAGGGCCTAAAAAATTATATACAAACTAGATGAATTATTGATAAACAGAAAAGTCGGTAAGATTATATGAGATTTAAATGAAACTACAAGTGTTATCTTAGAATGAACAAAATTTTTATTTTCAACGGGAACATGAGCAATATCCATTTTGGGGCCACTCTAATGTACACACATACATATGTATGTAAAAAGCAAACTAAATTTTGGATAATTTTCTTTATAATTTGTTGTAGTTTTATTTTTTTTAATTCCTTTGCAATATAATAAAGTCATGTCATTGTTCAACTAGTCTGGGAATTTTGATGCGTAAAGAAAAAAATCCCCTAAAAATATTAAAAAAAATATGTTATCGTTGATTGTTGTTTGTGTTACGCATGTACTTAATATTGATTGTAATCATGATAACAGCAATTGTAGGCAAAAAAAATGCAAACAATTTATGGTTTAATGCAGACAATTCTAAACATACTAGAAGATATAGCAACACACAGAGAGTATATATCGCTCAGTTTTTACAATACTGGCATAATCCAAAAAAAGCATTTCGAGAAAAATAGCGTTTAATGTTTAATGAAATTTTAATATTTTTAAATAACTCATACCAGATTATAGACTTATACAGAATAATAGACATATTTAAAATTTTAATATATCTATATAAAAGACTTTAATGTGACCCATGTTTTGTAGATCTCGGTTCAAAAAACACAAATTTTGGATTATACCAGTCTTTTAGTAAATAAGCGATATGTATGTAGTAGCTTTAAAAGTTATGCTTACTTTAAATTGATCTACATATGCGTAATACGAGGGTAGGCGTAAAAATACATTTAGAATTTTAAAGCTAGTGTTTATAAGCTCTAGAAAATAATGTTAGTTTTTGTGAAATTTTTGGTTGACCCTCAAATATATGTACATATGTATAGGTTTGCATGCATTGCCGATGGTGCAACATTTGTTTTTAACCATATGAAAGAGCGTTTTAAGTGTACAACAGTTGGTCTATGGATGATTGAACTTTGTAAAGTGTGTTCTATATATTATGAGTATTACATATAATATTATGCTCTAGAATTTATATGCAGAGTTATAATATATAACATTAAATAGGTCTATACATATTCGTAAATACATAAGTGTAACTATGTTTGTGAGCATATGTAAACATGTATGTTTTTGACTATGGGGACCCATCAACAATGTGG